ACCCTGAGGTTTATTCGATACCCTATAATTGACAACATTGCCAGGTGCTGGCTGCCATGTTACTCGTATGGTCCTCTCTGTTTCTTCTGAAACCGTAAGAACTCTGGCAGCGGCTGACACTGTCGGGGAGATAAATGAAAGACAATGTCCATTAAACGTTGGACTGATTCAACCACATTTCCTAGGGGTCAGGAAAACCAAACCATCTGAATAATCATAGTTTGTCTGCCAAGATAATCTTGATCCAACACAGACCACGGCTCTCCAAACCGGGTGAAACCAGACATGCCGAAATGGTTGTACGTCATGCATAACGCAGACACTCTAAGACTGTCTGCAATGTTCTCTTTTTATGCCGTGACCGGAGTGTTTTTACGCAAGAGGGAAAGGAATGAATTGTCCGCTTTTAACCGGCCTACGGAACACTTTCAGATGGAGAGACCTTTTACAAATTGGGAGTTTTATGGATGGAAAATAAGTTTTCCCACTTATTCCCTGATCCAATAGGACACCATGTGTTAATGTTGGTATTGAAGGAGGTAAGGAATAGAGTGATGGCAGCAGACATAAAATGGAGACGCCTAAGCCAGAAGACTTCTGGACTTTTTAGATGACAGACAGCAAGATAAACCAATTATAAATTTCAGCACGCTTAACCAGTGAGTTGCCCCACTGAATAAGTAAGAGGATGCCATAAAGTGCTGCAGAGTGTGTTGAAATCCGCCATCCCTTGATAATAGAGAGCATGTGTAAATCATTAAATCAGCCACTACACACACTCCATACACTACACCCACCATATGTTACAATAGCCCACAGCGAAGGTATTTTAGAGGAAACAGTGGTAATGACGCAAACCTATAGCAATGACGTTCTGCCCCCGCTTGGTGTTGAGCTTATGAAAGGAAATGGAAGTCACTCTTTCACTTCTTCCACATCAGAATGAACACTGAGACATTTCTGTTGTAGAGCTTTTGTCTCCAGCATACTTCAGAGAGCATGTCATTATGTTGCAGAGTGTTCTTAAAACAGACATTAAACTCGAGAACTGATTTTTCTGAAGAAAATCTAAGTGATGTTCACCCCAAAATGCAAAACTGGATGCCAAGATTTTGAAATTGCATATGTATGATTGCTTGGGTGTTATAAAGGCGCAGTGTCATTTGCAAAATTTCATGGACAAAAAAAGTGCCTTTGTGTGAATTGTCTTGCAATGCACTTTCAAACCATGCAGCTTTCTGTTGCTCGACGCGTCAAACTCATGGATTCATGGAATTTGCTTGAGTAACTTTTTTACCCTCACACACGGATTTCTATTGATAATTACTAGATTTCGCCCAAGGAATTTCGATAGGCAATGGTCAATGCGACTGCACCTTAAGTGGTTGCTTATTGGCCCACTCTCAAGTCTATATGATATTCTGGTCTGGTGGGAATGGCTTGGGTGTAAGTCTGTGGGTTTTGTCATCCTTCAGGTAAAAAATGTGGTAAGTCTTCATTCATTGTTAAGGCATCACATAAGTCTGCAAAATAATGACTGAACTCATCTGAGTTACACGGATTATCAAGCACCACACATTTTTTATTTATTTGCTAGTAGCTCAATTGTGTTGAGTGTAATTTTCAAACTTTGCACTGACTGGTTCAGACTGGTAGGGCAGATACTTCATTGAGGTTTATATGCATGTCAGTGAAATATTCGGACATTATATACAGTGTATCAGGTTTTTTTCCTCTCTGGGGTAGGTTACCTCAGGACGAGGGGCCCACCTCAGACACACAGAGCGAGGTAAAGAGCGTTTGGTCATATGCTGGATTCATTACGCAGGCGGGAATGGACTTACCATCTGTGGTCTCCTCTCCATGGAGTGGCTCTCCCTCCTTACTGCTGTAGGCAGCGTAGACAGAAACCTTGTAGCGGGTCTCCGGAGTCAGTCCGTCCAGAACAGTGGTGGTTATGTCCCCGGGGACGGTTTTCTCGCCAGCTTCCTCTGAAAAGAGGGATTTCCAGGTGACCCGATAAAGGCGGACGTTGCCAGGGGCGGCAGTCCAGGATGCCACAAAACTGCTCTCAGTGACATCTGAAGTAACCAGATTCGTAGGTGAGCCGAGTTCTGAATGATTGAGAAAAAAGACACAAAAATTGTAAAAACATCATAATAGTCTGGTCACAGAGAAGCAACAAGCACTTCCATTAAATAAGGCTACCTTGGCTAACTAGTCACCCAGCCTGGCCAAACTGGCAAGGCAGTCATGTTTCAAAGGTTTTAGAAAGATCTCTGACACCTACAGTGTTCAGACTGGAAGACACACTTGTTAACACCAGTTTGGCCAGGCTTAGAGACTAATTAGACCAACAAATTACTAACCAGGCTACGTTGGTTAACTTGTCTACCAGGATGGCCAAGCTTGTTAGGAGGATGTGTTATCATGGTTTTACACAGGTTTCTGGCAGCTAGTCAGGCTGCGGGACAAACTTTCCAATCACCTAAACCAGTTAACACCAGTTTGGCCAGGCTTAAACACTGAAAAGGACCAACAAAGTCCAGCGAAATACTGTATAGGTGGGTTTAAGCAGCCTGCGTTGTTTAACCAGGCTGTCCAAGCTTAGGCGGGCATGTTTTGGTGGCTTTAGGGATGTTTCTGACGCCTAGTCCAGCTGGGAGCCCTGCTGAAAAAACCAGCATGAATTCCATGTTGATCCAGGCTGGTTTATGCTGGTTAGAGCTGGTATAGTTCTGGTCTAGCTGGTGGACCAGCATTCTGTTCTCAAGCAAAATTGAGATTGAGTAGTTGGTTCACCAGCATTCCTGCTTCCCTTACTTGGTCCTGCAAACCAAAAATCAGCATGCCACATAAGCATACCTTATGTTGGTGACCACCAGTGCTGGATTTTCACTTGCTAATCACCTAAAACATTTAACACCAGTTTGGCCAGGCTTAGAGACTGATTAGACCAAATAAGACAAGAAACATACTGTAGATGGGATTTTTTTAGGTTATTTACAATAGGTACAGTTTTTTGTATTTTATAGGTACAAAAGTTTTTTTTGTTGTTGTATTTTTCAGAGGTTGACGGGCCTGATCAAAGCAGAGCAGTGGTCTCTTATAAAAGTAGAACATTTAGAACAAAATAAATCTGAGAAATTTGAGTGAAATCTTCAGTTAAATGAGCATTTATCTAATTCTCCACTGGTCTGTCTAAAACGCCGGTAGCTCGCGATTGCTTTGATTTACTCTGTCAGTAACGCGTACCCTGGAAAACAGCTCTGCAAAAATAATTTCTCTCTCTGCTGCCACACATCTGTCATCACATCTACTTTCCATTGAACACGAAACTCGATCCATTAAACACAGACTGCTAAAACTGCAGATGTAGCTCGCTTTTTGATCTGCGCCATACCACCTACCTATCTTTACACTCTCTCTTTCTCTCAGTTCTATGTTGAGTGGCCCAAAACAGAAGAGGAGAGAGAGACTTGAAATGATAGGAAATTGTCAGAGTGCTGACAGCAACCTGTCCCTAACCTTACCCGTATCCCACCACAATAGCAGCAGAAGTGTGACAATACAATATGAACACAATAAATACACTGTACTTATTTTTTGATGTAAGTAAGTACATAGACCAAATTGTGTTGAGAGGGAGAGTAAAACAAGAAGTTTTTTAATGTTCCAATTAATATGTGAGCAGTGCTTGCCAGTGCCAAAGTTGTCCTAACCTTACCAGTATCCCACCACAATAGCAGCAGAAGTGTGACAATACAATATGAACACAATAAGTACACTGTACTTATTTTTTGATGTAAGTAAGTACATAGACCAAATTGTGTTGAGAGGGAGAGTAAAACAAGAAGTTTTTTAATGTTCCAATTAATATGTGAGCAGTGCTTGCCAGTGCCAAAGTTGTCGACACATGAGGTTGCAGAGGTGTTGAGTGGTTTGGTCATTTTATTACCCACCAGGTGAAAAACCTGTTTACTTGGTAAACAGCAACACACACATTCGTGTTTGCAACATCAAGTTATGGACTGAAGTTTAACAGTTAATAGTTGAAGGACATGCATGCCTTAGCGAACACCAATAACTAATTCAAGATGAAACAGACAGAGAAATTAGGACTCTGAAGTTGTTTCTACGTCCAGCATAGAGGTCTGATTTTACTGACAGAGCACAGAAGAGAGCAGATCATATGTTAATGTCTTCTGCAGGCTGCTTTTGATTGTTAAAATGCAGACAAACTGCCAATGCCAAGCACTGCAATGCACCTCTACTCAGACAACACAAGCTATTAACGAATATTCATTTGTGGTTTTGCATTGACAGAAAATGTAGCCACAAAACAGAGACGCAACAGTACAATACCGTGCATGAGTTTATTAATGCTGTCCTGATATTGTTATGTGTTGAGGCCAGATTAAAACCAGACTCCTTTTGGACCTTCACATATGCTATTTTTCCTTCTTTGATTCTTGTTTTAGCATTCCATCCAAGCAAAATGTTGATGTTAACTGGGAACAGGAGTTCTAGCACTAACGTGACTGTCATCCTGAATTATTTCACTTTGGAAATGTTTGGAGTACCTGGAAGCAAGACAAATTCTCCAATGCTGTGTCCTTCAGCCCGACACATTCTCTGACCACCTCATGCATATTAAGTGATTTTTTGGCCTTTTGCCTTTATTTCGGTAGGACAACGCTAAGGTAGACAGGAGGCAGTGGGAAACATGGTCAAGAAAGAGCTGTGTGTTGCCCGCTTGCCTGCAAGGTACTCAGACTTAAAGACTTTTCATCCTCATTCATACCATACAGGAAGCCAGGACTGAAAGTCACAAACAATCAACCTCTGGCGAAATATCTGTAGTATACTATAGTATGTACACTACCATTCAATAGTTTGGGATCAGTAAGATTTTTTAATGTTTTTTTTTTAATGGAGTCTCTTATGCTCATCAAGGCTGTATTTATTTGATCAAAAATACAGAAAAACAGTAATATTGTGAAATATTATTGCAATTTCTAATATTGGTTTCCTATTTTAATATACTTTCAAATATAATTTACTTCTGTGACGCAGCGCTAAATTTTCATCAGCCATTATTCCAGTCATCAGTGTCACATGATCCTTCAGAAATCATTCTAATATGCTGATTTATTATCAGTGTTTAAACTGTTGTGCTGCATAATATTTTTTTAGAACCTGTGATACTTTTTTCATTGATTCTTTGATTAATAAAAATGTAAAAACAACAGCATTTATTCAAAATATTAATCTTTTCTAACCAGTGTTGGGGGTAACGCATTACAAGTATCGCGAGTTACGTAATCAGATTACTTTTTTCAAGTAACTAGTAAAGTAACGCATTACTTTTTAATTTGCAAGAGAATATCTGAGTTACTTTTTCAAATAAGTAATGCAAGTCCCTTTTTTTTTTCCAATTTATTGACTGACAGCTCTCCTGTCCCCATGTTGAGAGAAATCAGATGTTACTGTAGTTCTAAAATAAATATGAATATGCATTAATTCATCTCACTCACAAAAAAAAAAATCACAGATTCAGTATTCCTCAAGATGAATATAAATATTGCAACTCAGAATATGACGCAAACCTGCAATAATTAAATATTAAACAACACAAATATAATTTATGTATTTAATCCCATTCTATTAACCAATGTCTTTGCGTCTGACCTTCGATGATCCAGTTCAACCGTACTAATAAGCAAAAATTACTCCAGACACATTACTTTTAAAAGTAACTTTCCCCAACACTGTTTCTAACAATGTCTTTACTATCGCTTTTTATCCATTTAACACATCCTTGCTGAATAAAAGTATTAATTTCTTTTCTTTTTTTTTTTAAAGAAAGAAAGAAATTACTGACCCCAAACTTTTGAATAGTAGTGCATATTGTAACGCACACACACACACACACACAATCTATTTTGAATAAACACTGTTCCTTTTAACTTTTTATTTATCAAAGAACCTTGAAAAAATATTAAGCACAACTGTTTCCAACATTGATTCTAAATCAGCATATTAGAATTATTTCTGAAGGATCATGTGACACTGAATTCTGTATATTAAAATAGAAAACTCTCATAATATTTCACAAAATTACATTTTTTTCTGTATTTTTGATCAATTAGATACAGCCTAGATGAGCATAAGAAACTTCTTTAAAAATCTTACTGATTCCAAACTTTTGAATGGCAGTGTAAGCATGTTACATGTTGCTTACATGACTACATGTAGTTGCAGTACATAACAGCAGGGGTTAGATCGAACCAGCCAAACCTTGAGCCCCTGATCACGAGTGCCAGCTTTCGCTAAATTGACAAATAACTACATCATGAACAATTTAGCACCATTTTCCATTGATTTCCTCTTTGTAGCGGTTTCATATAGACGTTATCCAATTTCAGGCCCTGGGATCTAATTTCTGGATCTTCTCACCCGTGTCCACATTCAGAGAAAGTAAACTCTGCCTCTGACTGAGTGGAATAAAAAATGACACATCTGAGAAATCAATCTCGAAGAGGTAATGAACCAGTGGGGTGGTCACAAACTGAGAACACATTGGTAACGAACATCTTGAACGTCCTTTTGAACAGTTGCCATACAAAGCTGACAAAAACAATCTTGCATGACTTACACTTGGATAATCTCAACTAGCACACTGATTAAGCTTTGCGAAATTTGCATGGGATCCAACTGGACAGCGCTTGATGAGAAAATGAGGTCTGTCCACTCTCTTCTCGCAGAATTCAGCTCATATTCAGTAAAACAGGGCAGAAGTCTTGGTTAAGAGACATAATCTGGTGCTGGCAACGATCTCTCAGCCCAAGCCCATTTTCCACAAAAACTATCATGAGACAAAACTCATGCTGACTGCAACCACATTCACCAGATGTTAAAACACAAAGACGCTCTGAGACCACTGGACAAAACTGGCAGATTTAGAAAAACAAGTTTACATTTTTGAATTAAGAAGATATGCAAGTTAACATTTGTAATGGCATTTTTTACTATTTAGTTTAATAGGCTGAAGAGGAGATGCAGTGTGAGCTGGTCAGCCCTAAAGTCCTTGTTTAAGGTCACTTCCTAATTACCCCAGACTGGGTTTGGCCTCACAGTGCACTTTTCTGGAGGCTGAGGGCAACTAAAACAAAGAAAGCTGTGTTATGCTCCAGGATATGGAGTTTAACATATCTCAGTTTGGAAACGCCTTGTCAACGGCCAAAAATTAGTCGCATGTTTCCTTTAGCTCTTCGTTGAAAGGCGGCTTGAGTCAGCATACATAATGACAAGCCTCTGAAATATGGGCTTTTGTATAATGAGCGGAGGACAGCCATTAGCGGTTCCGGTTAGATGCTGTAATCGGTCATTTTAATACGACACTGCTTGAAATCCATCCAAAGAAAGACGTGCAGTAAGTATCGGGCATTTATGGCTGATACGTTAAAGCTAAAAACCTTGGATGAAATTGTTTGGCAGTGGCTAACCTTCAGCAAGCCCACAAGTTAATGGCAGTTCTGACATGCTTTTTATCAAGAGAATATTGCGAGAGACATGTACTTCACTTTTTGCGAAAGCAAAAAAGAAAGCGTTTTTTTTTTTTACGTAGAAGAAACTGGCTCTTAGTGGTTTGAGACCACTCATATAAGCCAGACAGTAATAGGACACAAATAACCAGCAATCACTAAAAATCCAGCACAGTATCAAAAGACTTTGTAATCTATTTATTGACATGATGTGATTTTTAAATTAGTAACTTTAGAAAAGTAGAACAGAACCATACACTGTATGATTTAATTTTTAAACCCCAAATTCTGATTGCAAGACCAAGGTTAGACACTAGAAACAATTTCACCAAACCGTTATCTTTTGAGGTTTTGTTTCCATTCACTCTTCTTCCAATGCCAAGCATGAGCGAGGACATTTTTACAAGCTCAGCTAAATCATCTGCTGCCCACACACCAAATGTATAAACCCAGAGCGTGGGGGAATCCACACAGTGAGATCTGTCATTAGATGACACATCTAAAGGGTCATCCATTTGGTTCCCAAAATTACGGAGTGCACTTCACACTCACAGACAACACTGAAAGACTTTTAAGCACATCTGTCCTCTGTTAAGAGCTTGATACAGAAGCATGCGAAGAAACAATTAGAGTAACAGAGAGCCCTGTCTAAAAACATCAAAATGTACAGCTTCCCTTTAACACTCTGTCACAAAGTTCTGTTCTACCCGAACAAAAGAGTAATATATTTAAAATTTCATTCTAAGTATAGTTCAAAATCTTTATTTACTGACATATCGCTCAAGACTTACTGATATAAAATGTGACCCTGGACCACAAAACCAGCAGTGTTGGCAGTAACGCATTACTTAGTAACCCGTTACTGTAATTTGATTACTTTTTCAGTAACGGAGTAATTTAACGCGTTATAATTTTCAAAATAGTAATTAGAGTATAGTTACAAGCCGAAGTCTCTATACGTTACTGCCGCGTTACATTGGTGACAGAATGCAGTGTTTTATAATCTAGAGAGTTTCTATTTAGGCTATAACACGTGTTTGCAGCGTTGAGCAATTTAAATAAATAAAGCGCTTGCTTTAGTTAAAAATAACAGTGTTCTGTGAATGTTGATGCTTTAATAACAAATATTTATCGGGAGCGTGTATGCTGGGATTTCATAAATTTCATGGAGAAAAAAGTAACGTAACTAGTAATGTAACTAATTACTAATTACTTTTGAAATAAAGTAATCAGAACAGTAACGTGATTACTTTTCAAAGGAGTAATCAGTAATCAGTAATTTGATTACATTTTCAGAGTAACTTGCCCAACACTGAAAACCAGTCATAAGGGTCAATTGCTCGAAATTGAGATTTATACATAATCTGAAAGCTGAATAAACAAGCTGCTCCAGGGTCACAAATACTAATTTAATTTTATCTGAAGTACTACTTGTGCACAATGCACATTTCTTAGTATTAAGCCAAAAATGTGTTTTAATGTCACTATTGATGAGGATTGTATGATCTTTGAATAATATCAGTCTTTAAATGCAAGATATTTAGAGTGTATCTGAAGTATACTTGCAATAATTCCACTTTAGCACACACAAATATACTTCAGTATATCTTTAGTTGGACTTCAGCACTACTTAAAGTGCGTTAAGGACAAATATTAGTTTACAATTTAGCAGACTGTAAGTATACCAGTTTAGTATACCAAAAGTACAATTACAGGGTATTTTTATTAAGTACATATGTGTAAATGTACTTGTAGTATACTTAGCATGAAATAAATGTATTTCATATATATTATATTTATTTTTCACTAGGGTATACAGGTATCTGCCAATATTTGGGAATGATCAGATTTTGAGAATGTCAAAATTTGACCAAATGTTCAGACAGCCCTTTTTTATTTGATTTCAATTTTCAATTTCTCATTTTGTTTCATTCAATTGTATTATATCATATAGATTGGCATTCTCACAGTAGCCAAACTGCTTTAAAGGTATCTGCATCTATTATGGAAAAAGCAGTGTAGGACAACGACTGGTGCAGACTGCCATCTGGGTGTCTTAAACCACCCATCAATTTTTAGTTTCATTTTATACAGTGTACTGCAGACAAATGAATTGCTTTGTAGAAAAAGCTTCGAATGCAATACTGAAGTGTCTTACCTTCCAGAGTAGTGCCTGTTCCCATCAGTGGCGCTCCGAGGCCAGAGGTGTAACGGGCACTAACGAAGATCTCATACTCGGTGTCTGGTGACAGATTTCTCAGCAAAGCCGTTGTTGCGTCTCCTTTAACAAACATTTCTTTTCTTTCCCCACCATCAGGTTTGTAGGCCACTTGATATTGCAGCACATTGCCTGGAGCGGCCCGCCATGAGACCCTCATGCTGGACACGGTCTCGTTGAAGACCCTCAGGTCACGTGGAGAGCCCCGGACTGAGAGGGAATAATAAATATGGGATTAATTTACTTGTTTTAGAATTTCAAGGTAAAAGAGTCAAAACTTCCCATAGTGCTGACCTTCTTTGGTGGTGCCCTCAGTGTCCATGGAGGGACCCATTCCACTTGCATACTCGGGGTACACTGTGACACGGTAAGTGGTGACGGGTAGCAGTTCGTGGAGCACAATGGTGACCTGACTCCCATCAGTCTGTGCTTCCAGTTTATCTCCTCCACCCACTGGCTCATACAACAGTCTGTACCTCAGCACTGCTCCTGGAGCGGCTCTCCACGACACGCGGAAGCTGTCTACGGTCTCATCACTCACCACGAGGTTACGGACAGAGCCTAATTCTGAAATGCGAGAGCAGTGCGTGTTATCAGCCACATGCAAAAAAGCTTTACTTGTCAGTGATAAACGACTTTGACTGTGATTAAATACCTTCTAAAGTCGTCTCCTCGCCTGTCAAAGGAAAACTGTCTCCTTTATCATACTGGGCGATGACATTAACCTCGTAAGTGGTCAGGGGCGTGAGATTGGGCAAAATCGTAGTGGTGGTGTCAGGAGGAACCACCAAAGAGATGTAGTCTCCAGTTACGTCAGCCGCTGGCCTGAAACGCACCAGAAAAGACAGGACATCCTCTCCGTCAGAAATCCACGAGGTCCTGAAGCTTCTGGAGGTGACCTCAGAGAAGCTTAGCGACTTTGGTGGAACCAAACCTGTATGATAGAGCACATCATACAATGTGTATTTTCTTGAAAGTTTATTATCTGGCTTTCCATGCTTTAAGCTTGGTCTTGCGTGCTTGATTCACTCCAAGAGAAACTTTAGTAATACATTCTAAATAGACATGTGTTAAAGGGATAGTTCACCCAAAAATGAAAATCCTGTCATCGTTTCATCATTAACTCATCCTCAAGTTGGTTCAACCCTGTACTGTTGAACACAAAAGAAGATATTTTAAAAAATGTACAGGGTACACTTCAGTACAGGGACCAATTCTCACTATTAAATAGTTGCTTATTAGCACGTCTATTAATAACATATTGGCTGTTTATTAGTACTTATGAAGCACATATTCAGCATGACCATATTCTACATCCCTAATCCTACCCAATACCTAAACTTAACTATTAAGAAGCAGAAAATGTGTAGTTTATTGAGGCAAAGTCATAGTTAATGGTTTGCTAATAGCGAGAATTGGACCTAAAAATAAAGTGTGACCAAAGAAAATAAAAAAAGTTGACAATCCCCATTGACTTCCATAGTATGGGAAAAATACTACTGTTTGGTTACGCATATATTCTTCAAAATATCTTCTTTTGTGCTCAACAGAACAAATAAACTCATGCAGGTTTGGAACAACTTAAGGATGAGTAAATGATGACAGAATTTTCATTTTTTGGGTGAACTGTCCCTTTAACACAATAAAAAACTGAAATATGTGGTGTATAACAGCAATTTAGTATTGATTATGATGATGTTGATTATTTATTGTTCATGATGTTTATTATATCTAATCTGCCCTCAACCGTACTGGTGACTGTCCCAAGCAGGGTGTGTTCGTGGATCTTTTGTTGATCCTGGAACAACATTCCCATCAAACAAACATAGTCTGAACCCTATCCTTAACTAACTACCTAGAGTAAACTGCTTATCAGAGGGAATAGATAATTGTTGCTGATAAGATTGTTGTTCAAATCCCTTACCCCAGACCTAACCTTTTTTTCATTCCTAAAATGTTATTGGTTGATAAGACTGTTATTCCAGGTCCATCAAGGCTGTTGATCCAGAAACATGTCCTACTTGGAAATCATGGTAAGCTCACTCACATAAACACTAACAGAAATGACTGAAAAAAACAAAACAATAAACGAATGTAATCGAAGTTGGCACATACTTCTTTTCTTGATGTTATGGAGCTCCTGCTCAATTCTTAGACAGATGGATGTGGTTAGTTCCTTGGAGATCCGCTGAAAGGAATCAAAGTCTTCCACCTCAAACACATGGTTATCAGCAGGTGCGTTGGCAATCGCCTCCAGCTCGGAGCGCACGGCGTCCTTGACTCCCACGGCGAAAATCTCCACGTCTGCATCCCTTAGTTTGTTGGCAGGGTTTTTGAAAGAATCCGAGGATTTACCATCTGTGATGAGCACCATGACTCGGGGCACGTTATCACGAGCGCCACGGGCTGGAATGAAGATCTTTTCCCTTACGTAGGTCATGGCCTTGCCAGTGTTGGTGGAGCCTCCACGGTAGGGGAAGGTGCGGACTGCATTGAGCACAGCTGCATTGTCATCGTGCTTGTTCAGGGCAAACTCAGTGTGTGGATCCCGGCTGTACTGAACCAAGCTGATCTGCACTTTGTTGGGTCCGATGTCAAAAGAATTGACGAGCACTTCAAGGAAGGCTCTAACTTTAGCAAAGTTAGACAGTCCTATACTGTACGAGCCATCGACCAGGAGGACAATATCAGCTTGGACCTCGACCTCTTGGGAGCACTCTATAGGCAACAAAACACAAGACTTCACAACCTGTCTGTCTGGAAATTATATTTGCATTTTGAGGGTAAGCAGGTCAAAAAGTACCAGTATATAGATAAACTATGAATAGGGTAGATCTGTGAGATTTAAGGCTGGAGTACACTACACAACTTTTGCCATGATTTTTGCTACGGTTTACAGTCTGGAGGACCCAACACTAGTTCCGATTTAAAAAGCCATGTAGTATATTCCAGCCTATAATAGGATGGTTAAAGATTCGGACTGGCAACTCAAATGTTGTAAATTCAGTCCCCACAAGAAGGTGATCCATGAACAGTTGCATCCTTGATCAACACAGTTCAAGGAATTGTAGTGCTCAGATCTCTTTCACGCTTCTCTGTGCTCAAACTTAGTGTACCGTGGTTGAATACTTGGGACTTGTTTACACCATTAAGACATGTTTTGGTCGATCCAATCACAAGTGGACAACACTTAATACAGGTATGAATTGGGTGTAAAACCTTTTCAGCTTGTCCAGTTATGACCACTTCCAAAGGTAGTCGAAAACGTATTAGATGGGATTGCTTTTCACACTTGAAATTGTTAACCCTGGGTCATCCTAAACCCCGGAAAAACGTGGAGAAAAGCGACAGATTAAAACACCAAATGTTACCCGATACTTATTACCCGATCGACCAAAACGCATCTTAATACCAGGTGTAAACAGGGCCTTGGAAGCATTAATGAAAGTAGTTGTTAGCATCTTACCTGTAGACACCTTCACAGGCTGTGTTTTCTCGTTGACAACTTGTGGCTTACTAGGAGTCAGACCTTTGAGGGCAAACAGACTGATCTCATACTCTGTCTCAGGAGACAGGTCTCTGACATTGGCCACGGTGAATGTGGGCCCTGTGTAGAGCTCCTGCTTCTTGGCGCCAGCAATCATGGGGAAGACCTGCAGCTTATAGCCTGTGATGTCACCAGGAGACGAATCCCACCTAATTCTCATGGATTTGGAGGAGACGTCAGTTACTCTGAGGTCTGAAGCTGGTTCAACAACTGGGGTAAAAAAGGTTAAATATTTATGATTCATAGATCTTCCATTAACTGGTCAATTCTCTGTGAGTTTACGATGTATGGCCAGTACCTTCCTCTCCGCTTGCAAGCAAATTTAGCTGCTCCTCCACACCAGAGCACACCTGCGTGATGAGCTCCAGCTGCAACTGATTGATCATGTCGAAGTTTGGGACATTATAGATATGCTTGCTGTGGGGAGTGGAGGCTATCTCCTTTAACTCATCCTCATCTGCTCCTTTGATACCTGAAGACATGAAACGCAGCTTGAAAAAGTGTTCCATGCAGTTTTGGATGCATGTTCAATAGATGTATACTGTACATACCCAGGACAAAGATCTCTACTCCAATGTTCCTCAGGCGTTCTGCGTACTCCCCTACTGGGTCTTGTGACTTTCCATCCGTGATGATCATGGCTACTTTTGGAAAGCCTTTCCTGGCTCCAGCCGCCGCAGTGAAAGTGTTTTTCACCAGATAGTCCATTGCATCACCTGGTTGATGGATGCATGTAAGAAACCGGGACAAATTAATTCATGTCGAAGGAAGATTTAGTAACACTTTATTTTAAGGTGTCCTTGTTACACGTTACATGTACTTACTATTAAAATAACAATAAATTACGCATAATTACATGCAAGTAACCCTAACCATATAGTAAGCACATGTAGTTAATTAATATTACTCAGTACTTAAATGTATAATTACACTGTAACAAGGACACCTTAAAAATAAAGTGTAACCGAAGATTTCAAACTCTTTTAAGTGATTATTTTGGAAGAATCTGTGTCTAACTATGAATATTTATTCAGCTGTTTATGACTCTTTTTTATGTTTAATCAGGTAATTATTTATTTTTTAAGCCTAGTAGGACGTTCCAATATTGCCCATCATGTTACCACATGATAGACTGACAAAATATTGTTCACACTCCAAGCCAAAGCCAATCCCTTTCACCAACAATCCCCAAACTCTGATTGGATGATTAATGTTGACTAGGGTTGTTCCAGGACCAACACAGATGCTGATACAGAAACAAGTCCTAATCAGCCAAATAATGGTATGGCAAATCGTAAATCTTTTACACACCTGTCATGGTGTTACCACCCTTGTAGGGCAGATTTTTAATGGCTCGCAGGACATCAGGCCGCCTGTAATACTGGTTCAGGTTGAACTCTGTCCTGGTATCTGAGCTGTACTGCACCACAGCCACTCTGGTCTTATCCTCTCCAATGTCAAAAGCTCCCGCCATGGCCCCAATGAAACTCCGGATGAATTTAAAGTTTTCTCTTCCCACGCTCCAAGAGCCATCCACCAGGAAAACCAGATCCGCGATAGCACTCACTGAACACTCTGCATGACGAGGAAATGAAGAGGCATGAGAGAAAGCCATATAAGAGTCTACTATAGATCTACCACACTCTTTGTCATTTGACTTATTTGACACATTAATGGACAAAAAAAGTTGTTGTTTAGTCTATTTTGCAACTACACTTACACAATTATTAATGACTCCTAAAAAGTCATGTCCTCTGTCTGTTTCCTTTAATATTTCCCAACAAAAATGATGCTTCCGAAGCAAATGGAAACTTTCAATAAACTTATTTCTGTTTCTTTAGACATGGCTCCAAAACTTTACTGTGAAATGTCCATCTTGAGAACAGGTTTTCTGGAATTTCAATTGGATTTGTTTTGGCACCGGTACTCTCGATTTGGACTCACAAGAAGTGGAATTGGGTCAGGACCGTAATCCTTTCCACTAGTTGTGATGTCTGAGTGTGTGAGAGTCAATGAGTGAGGCTAGAAAAAGCCTCTGAGCCCCTCTCTGCGTTATACCAGCCACTTCTAACAGTACAAAACAAAGTGTTTTATGAGCTCTGATTCTATTTTAATGCTTTTAATTAAAGGCAATTTTTACATTGCCAACCACAGCCTTGAGCAATCTTTCTTTTTGCGAGCAGTAACAAGTCTACAGCGGTTGAAGTTTAGAGGAAAAATGTGATCTAATACACTGCATATAAAATTCCATTTCATAGGTGATAAGAAGCAAGGAAACTAACATCTGGAATGATGAAGAAATGGTTTGATTGAATATACTCACTGACAGCCTCTGACGGTGGCCTCTTTGTTCCACTTGTGTTGCTGGATTGAACTGTAAGAGCAGAAGAAGTTAGGTCTGTGTCTTGGAAGCTCACATTTCCTTTTGGCAAACAGATTTATCAAAACGAATAATCAACACCTCGTTTATTGTAAATTTGCTCAGAAGATCTCGAACTAAACTGGATTTGTACATTTTTTGAAGAAAATGTGAATGGTGCTTCAAAACTTCAAAACAATTAGTGTGTTGTGAGTGCTTGAAAGAGTATTGCTGCAGTATTCTGAATGGTTTTTAGTGCATTGCTATGTGATGCCTAGGGTGTTATGGGTTGTTCCATTACGGCTTAAGTCAAAGGAGTCCACTCCTAACTCTCTATTATATTTTGGAGACATGACTCAAGTTACCAAATTACCTTTTTAAGATATTAAATTTAAACTTTTCTTGACAGTGGCATTTAAAAGCAGGTTTTAAAAGGTTTGTTCCTCTTCTTTATCCCATAAGCCACATGACCTGAAATATCACTCATGTTCAAGTTTCAAGCCAAAATTGAACACATGAGCAAATCCCTTACCATGCATACATGCAATACCAACAGTTGCTTGTTTTAAAATACAGAATTAATAAGAAAAAGTCATCGAGGATATCTGGTGTGCACTTACTTGTTATTTGTCCAAGGATAGGGATACTTTCTTCCGCACCATCATATGAATTGATAGACACTGAATAGTCTACATCTGGAGTTAAATCCGTGATTGATGTGTTTGTGACCGAGGCAGGAAGACTGAAATCTTTCAAATAATCTGGAACAGATAATGACATATCAAGTCAGAAGAGAAGCTACTCAAAGCTGATCAATAAAAAACATGCAGATGTTGAAATCACGCACCTGTATCTGATATGACTTGTATTCTGTAGCCCTGTATCTGAGACGAAGGCCTCCTCCATGACATATGCACTGTGTTTTCATTTAAGATTTTAAATTTCAAGTCTGAAGGAGGCTCCACTGCAAACAAAGGGTTAACAGAGTCAAGATCACGAGAAACTGCAATATTTGAATTAATAATACATTTTGAAAAAAAAACATTAGATGATTTTCAACAACCCCAACGACAAACACTTCAGGACTGAAGTTTAGTCGTTTATTGTTGGGCGAGACAAACAGAACCAACAGTAAAGGTGACAAAAACACGACATAAGAGAGTGACGGAAGCCATTTCGGTTCAAATGGCCTTTTCTTGAGTTGCAAAACCTGGAATCTCATGGTCTGCAGCTCAAGCAGAGAAGAGCTATCACAAATAAAATGTCGTCGACAAACCATCCAATACATGCTGAATGCAATCAATACAATGCATGCCAGTTCACTGGAACTCTGGTGACAAAAAGAAATCATATCAAGACAATGTTCCCATTCCCAAAATATTGATTATACAATGGAATCAAGTTTTCGAGATGTCAAAGATTTCCAGATGGCTCTGTCCGGAGTAGAGAAAAATACATATATGTTATATATACGCTTTGTATATATACATATATTCCAACAAGGCTTGAGTACTAACAGGTTTTACTGAAGGCACGTATCCATTGCAAATCTCAAAAAAAGAATACACAGCTCGTCGTGACAGACTTTTGTGTAGTTCCTTTTCAAACAGAAGATGTACGTGACAAGACGACACTCGATCCGCATTCGTCTGGTTGTCAAAGTGTCATGCACATGTACATGGGGGAACAACTTATTACACTGTTTCCATGTACAACACAAAGGACAACACAACAAATGTATTTCAAAATGATATTCTGTCATAGATATTATTGACATGCAATCTACATCAAACCGTCGTGGATCTCATCTCAGCAGGCGGCGATCTAAGGCAATGAGATGTCCACTTACGTACTCCACATCCATGTTACATCTGCATGCATGAATGCTGATGATTGATGTAAATCTCTGCTGTCCGAATAATGTCTTGACTGCATAGGAAAAACAGGCGATGTCATCCAAAATGCAAACAACGGGTGATATTAAACATGCTGAATATTACAGAAATGAATTAGTATATTTAGAGTGCAGCTTGCAATATCACATTCTTAAATATAAGGGTTCCTAGATGGCCATAGAAGAAGCATTTTAGTTCCCCAAAGAACCTTTCAGTGAACATTTTTTTCCTTAGTGTGAAGAACCTCTTTTACACAATTATTGTAAGAACCTTTTGTTTCCATGGATGTTAAAGGCTCTTCATGGAATCATCATTGCCAATAAAGAACCTTTATTTTTTAGAACACTTAAAAAATGAAACTTTGTCGTTCTTTGGAGATTAAAAAAGTTCTTGATGTTCCAGTACATTATAGGTTCTTCAGCTCAGTATTTTACCGTTTTAAGCTGTAGAACATGATTTGGTTCTACTTGGAACCTTTACTTTTAAGAATGTATTGTAGAGTTCTGTAAACTAGCACATTTATTACTAGTCTTCATCGACAAGGCGATGAAGATCCACAGTGTCTGCTATAGATTAATGATCATCTATAAGAGCAGATCTTCGCTGTAGAGACTTTTCCATGCACTACTGTTCTTAATTCTTCTTGACGGCCAGCTGAATAATGAGGACGTGGCAAAACGTCACATGCGCAAAGAAAAAAAAAAGGAAAGTTTTGGGTGGAAAGAAGTGGCCAGAGCAGCAGAATATCATTTTAAAATAAACGGTGGAGGAAGCACACCAGGAAAACGACAGACAACACGACCTGCTGGAGAAAGAATGCTCACCAACCTGACGCGCCAAACTCAAACAGTCTGGGCCGATTCCCTTCATGTGTCCGAACAGGCCGAACCCATGAGTCTTCACGATTCACAGATGAGGCATCTTGTGTCACGGCACCAGCGCGCATAAACGATGTCTGAAACGCTACCTACCATTGAGCTTTAATACCGGCTCGGCAACTGTTATAATAATGGAACGTGACAGCTTTGTTGACTCTGTTGACAGTTTCATAACGAAAGTGACACAAACGTCGGCTCGTGTTGAATTTCTGGAAACTTCAGGATGAGGAGGCCCGTCAGGAGAGCACTTCTCTCATCCCGCGGAGAGAAAGTCTGCCCCATGTCAATAACCTCCAGCCAGTCAGGCATTCTTTCTGGCTAGCGCCGTTGCCAGGCAGTTCGGAAAAGAGGGTTGGAGTCTCCCGGAGAAGCCGAGCAGATGCCAAAGTAATTCCACGACATGTGCTGACATTAAACATTACTGCATATTAACTTTCCATAAGGACTGCAACTCAGCGTTTTCGTGAGCGGCTGCAGGAAACCTAAAAAGGCTCTTTGTCTTTGTGCTGTCTGAGAACTAATTCAGCCCTCTCATGTTACATCTTTCCATTCTGTTACAGCACGCGCAAAAAAAAAAAGAATGTTTCCATTTGGTTTTCCAGTTGAATCAAACCTCATCCTCACGTTCTCACATCACTTTCGCTCGAGACAGCTGTCGGTGGGCTAAACTGATGCTGTTTGGTGGTGACTTTAATTACAGATCCGTTTTAAACTAAAACAACTTCAAATCATGCTGTAGAAAACACTTATCCATTTTACTTCTGGAACCCATTTATAGCTAAGCATAAAGTGCATATGTTTTTATTAAAAGTATTTTTATATTTCATTTTATGTGTGCATCCAGCTCAGTGTTGCCAAGGTTGTTTTGATGATAGATCTTGACTGAGATCGGAAAATATCAGAGATTTAATTTCATGCATGAAGAACTGTGTAAAAGAACTAAGGGCAATGTGTATTTTATAGCAACAAAAACAAAAACAGCTTATATATGGATAGTTATGTCAGTGTATCACACGTTGTCGCAGTGTTACTCATATTTATATCTTACATTTTAAACTATTTGTCATGCAAAGTATGTAAAAATGATAAAAATCCAAGTACCTATTCAGATTCAGTAACCTAAGTTAAATTTATGCATATACTAAATTTATGCATATACTACATACATAAAGAATAAATAAAATGAAGTTTATTTTAAGCCTTTTTATGGGAATCCAGCAGCTGTCAACTGTGATTGGATGTGGGGGAAAAATAGGCTAGATTTCATTCCTTCTGGGTGGGGTTTGAGCTGAAAAAAGTTCTGGGATCTGGCAACCCTGATCCAGCTACACACAGTGCAATACAATTTTGTGATTTTGTTTGCATGTGTTCTGACTCTTGATAAATGTGCATTTGAGTTTGACTTAAGATACTTATGTCTCCGCAAGAACTTATTGCAAAAGTCTGCAGTTTAACCTTTTTCTGACATTTAATAATGATGCTTTTGTAACAATGTTTTCAATTCAGCTCCTGTAATTAACCAGCACTAATGGTAATTCATTGGGCAATAACTGACTCATAGAGGAGGTGATGACCATCCCAGACTGCTTGTTTCATATCTGCAGAACTGCTGAGGCATGCCTCGCAACAAATGGCAGATTGTGACTGTTTTTCATACTAAACATATTAAGCATAAATAGCTTTTTCTTTTCTAATTCTCTGTGTGTGTGTGTGTGTGTGTGTAGAAGCACACGCCTCTATGTAGACTGGAATCACAGAGAACATTGCACGAGTAACATTTTTAAACAAATAGAGCACATCATTTTCATTTAATGGCTTATTAGAACTATTTCTAGAAATGTATAAGCTATAAATAACTATATAGAAGTTCATCATACAGGCCAAAGTTGATTTATAAGAAGTATTAATACAGTTTAATATAAGATATTCAGCAAGTAAGCAATGGACGCTCGGCATCCAATTAATGAACAAAAACATATTTCACTGTAAATGTTTTAAAACGGAAGAGAGACAGACAGCATGGACTATACCTTGAGCCTCTACTGAATTCAGTAATATAGTAAAGAGTGCAGCGGCAGCCAAAGACAGCCTGATCTTCATGTTTACACAGACACAGTCAGCAGCTCATTAATTAATCTACAAAGAGAGAAAAAAAATTCATTGTTATTTCTACAGTCATTGCATAGTATGCCTACTTTACTTTAAATAATAGCAGCATTATACCAATGCATTCATGGTGTGCTTAGTTTAATTTTGTACTAAATAAGTGTGAATCATTTTAACACCTAAACATGTAAATGGCAATTAGATGACAGAACACTCTCTCTCTCTCTCTCTCTCTCTCTCTCTCTCTCTCGGCTTATTCCCTTTCAGTTAGATGACAGAACTAATGTGTAGAATTACTTCTCATTGAGACACGGTGATCTGCATGACGGCTCACGAGCGCCTCCACGTGGAGCTTGACACAAGTGCAGTGAAAATGCACAACCATTCCTCTGATTAACAGGCTATAGACCTAAACCTATTAGCCCATCTCAGAATAATTTCTGCTAAACATTTAAACGTTTAAAAACTCTCGTTTTACCAAAATTGTAATATTTAAAAAAAAAAAAAAAAAAGACGTGGCAGAGCTTTAAAAAAACATGCATTAATGAATTACAAAATTGTGATTAAATCCTCTAAATGTCACATTTAAATCACCTCACCAGACATTCGTAATATTTAACGTTAAATAACGCGTTATTTTGCAAATTCCGTACAAATCTAAATAACTCCTTTGAAATGTTTGAATGAAGTAAAGAAGTCATATTCAGACCTGCACTGGTCCGTCAGGATCACAAATGGAAAGCAAAGGCTGACTGAGAGCCTCGTCTCGCTCCTCCAGCAGCGAGGGAAACCTCTGGGAGAATGGGAGGAATCTGAGCTCAACCTGACACTAAATAGGGGGTTGCTCCCAACTTTACTCCCTTACGAAATTCCTCAAGAATGAAGCCCCCTCTTTTAAAAATCAGAGATACGGGACTAGGCTACTTCAGAAGAATCCAGATGCAGATGTGCTGGGGTATTCAAGTTTAATAGGCTACTAAAGATACATGATAGGGTACCTCAGATTGGGTTTAGAAAAGATGGGCAAAATTACTAACTCGAAAAATGATTAGAATGAATGAAATATACTTATTGGTGAAATGTAGGCTACTTTTTACGTAATAGAGCGATTGAATCTTTCAGCTACCTCACAAAAACTGTATTAAATCCTCGTGTTTAGACATAGCCTTCTTGAAAGGGGGAAAAGTCGATAGTTTTATGGTAGGGGAGTCGTAGCCCATCTACACTCCAAGCACATGACCGCTTTGTTAATAACGAAACTGACTACACTTCAAACGAAGTATGTATTTATGCGAAATTGCGAATGTATTAGTGAACGTTTGTGCAATTGCTTACATGGGCTACTGTTGGTTAGACAGTCGTGTTAAAGGGATAGTTCACCCAAAAATGAAAATTCTGTCATCATTTACTCACCCTCATGTCGTTCCAAACCTGTATGAGTTGCTTGCTTACGTTGAACACAAAAGAAGATATTTTGAAGATTGCTGGTAATTGAACAGTTGGTGGTTGCCATTGACTTCCATAGCATTTTTTTCCTACTATGGAAGTCAATGGCAACCACCAACTGTTTGATTACCAGCAATCTTCAAAATATCTTCTTTTGTGTTCAACGTAAGCAAGCAACTCATACAGGTTTGGAACGACATGAGGGTGAGTAAATGATGACAGAATTTTCATTTTTGGGTGAACTATCCCTTTAAATGTAATGAGCAATGTGCAAAATCACACACTACAGCTGCATACTGAAGTACACACTTCACTGCTGATGCTGTGTTTTGTAAACTGGGGGAAAAAATAGAAAGAAAGAAATACCATTTCATTTTTTCTACTTCAAAATTTCACGACTTCAGTGTGTTACTTGCCGTTTATTTGAAATTGTTTGTGAATTTTACTAGCAATGTCTGAGGGGAAATTGTTCCAGCAACTTTTTTTTTTTCAGTGCAGATCAGTTTTTCTCATAATTACTATACCTAGAGCTAAAAGTCATTGCTTTTAACTTATTTTGAAATGCGTTCACTGCTAAGGAAGATTTAGCCTATTCATCATTCAGCATAAAAAGAAGAGAATTGTTGAAAATCATACTATTAGTATATTCTTAACATAACATAATTATTATACACTTCATAGCATAGCTGAACAATTATCCACCATACTAAGTTCATATATACAGCGACTTATCAAGTTTCTTAGCGAAAGAAAAAAAAACGAGAATGTGATCAAGATGAGATGGTTTTAATGTACTTGTATTCAGTGTTGGGGAAAGTTACTTTTAAAAGTAATGCATTACAATATTGCATTACTCCATAAAAAAGTAACAAATTACGGTACTTAGTTACTTTTTATGGAAAGTAATGCGTTACGTTACTTTTGCGCTAATGCGTTACTTTACTTGTTACTTGAAAAAAGTAATCTGATTACGTAACTTGCGTTACTTGTAATATATTACCCCCAACACTGCTTGTATTTTTAAAGTCGGCATTAAATGAAAATTCACCCTTATTTCTAAATGCAGTAATAGATCTTATTGTGAATGATTCATTCATGAACATGTTTACATTTTTTTTTTTTTGCACTTGTAATGTTTAATCTATGGAAGCCCGTTTCCGCCACTGAAAAAAAAAAAAAAGGTAATTGCGACTTTTTATCTCACAATTCTGACTTTTTTTCTCAGAATTGTGAGAAACTCGCAATTCTGACTTTTTTTCTCGCAATTCTTACTTATTTTCTCAGAATTGTGAGATATAAACTCGCAATTGCGAGTTATAAAGTCAGAATTGCGTGATATAAACTCGCAATTGCGAGTTAAAGTCCAATTTTGAGGGGGGAAAAAAGACTGATATGTTCTCAGAATTGCGAGTTTATATCTTACAATTCTGAGAAAAAAAGTCAGAATTGCGAGAAAAAAAGAATTGAGTTTGTATCACGCAATTCTGAGAAAAAAAGTCAAAATTGTGAGTTTGTATTTTAACCGTAGATTAAAAACAACAGACATGTTTTGGTTATGCATAAGCCCCGCCCCTGCAAGCTCATGTTCATTCACCTCCTTTTTGAGTGCCACGCCCACATATCAACATCCAATCAACAACCAATGCATAGAACCAAAGTCCTGCCCTATATCTTTTCTTTTCCGATAATCCGCTTCACTCGGATGCACGTCACAGGACAGAAGAAAAGATTTGTCACTACTTCCGCTGCATCGTAACTTTAAATCCTATGAAATTTTGTGAAAATACAATTGAGAGGAAATCTTCAAACACAGACTGCCAGTGGAACGTTTTATTACATAATGATTGCGCTTTACAGTACAATCAATAAATATTCATCCAATGTAATGAAAATAACTGACAGGACATCTAATTCTGAGGATTAGAGATCTTTACAACTCCGACACATGAATAGAGGGGCATGTTCAATCCTTCTTCTTGGGCAGCGCTGCATCGATCAATGCATACAGCACATAACCGCACCCTGTGGAGAGAAGAAGTGGGACAATAAAAGCACTGTTTACAGAGCCATAGTAGTACATATTCACTACATTTTTACACTTAAAAGGATACGAAGTACTAAGCAATATGACAGTGCCTTTGAACACCCTTAAAGACATTTAACCTAAATTAAAATGTCTGGGATCCTCAGAAAAATTCCCTGATATGAGTAACTATAAGTAACTGTAATGCAATTAATAGAAATATTTACATAGTTTGATACCTAATACACACCTAATACAAATACAGTTGCAAACTATATGAACTAACAGTACAGCTGAATACAGGATTAAATACATATTTTTCAAAAAACTACTTTTGTAGGGTTTCTTTTTTGTTGTATAGCAGGACCCACAAAAACGTTCTTCAATAATAATAATTATAGCAATAAGAAAATTATAATAGTAACTTTAAGGAATATTAATTTTACTTCCATGTTTTTTTGTTTATGCTTTGCCAAAAAATAAAAGTAATTGATCAATTTAATTATAAAATAAACATAAAAGATTAAATAAATTGTTCATATTTTATGCCTTCACTTGATTACCACAGTTTTTGATAATAATTTCAAGCAGTAGATTTTCTTTAAAATAAATAAATAATAATAGTAATAATAAATTCAGTTGATTAGGCATTGTTTTGATTATTAAACTGAATTAAAACTGAATTCAGGAAAAGGAAAACACAGAATTTAGGGGAAAAATCTAATTGATTTCATTGGGCCCTATTAATGTAATATTTATTTACTGAAGTTTTTAATCATTACGCTATTATGAACCACACTGATTGTAATCTCATTTAAATGGGATACCAGATAAATCAAATGAAAAGCAGATTAAGCATAAATAATATAATGGCCAGCCACATATCTATAGCTTACCAAAGACAGTAAGCGCCATCGTTGCCCTGTACAAGAGAGCATCTGTCGTGCCTCCCTTCAAATGAACTGGCATGCCATTGTCTTCCTGAAAGAAACAGAAACCGCATATTAGCATCTGATGCATGAGCACGCACTTTTGGGGGGCCACAAGTGTGAAAACAGACTGAACAAGAAAAGCCAAATTCTGAATTCGTAGATTTAGAAATGCTACAGATCTCCTTTAATAAAAGTAGGTTTACGTCTATGTTTTAAGAAAACGTCTTGTTTGGGACCACCAAAACTAACTCGGACACAGAGCACAATATAACAGCCATCCTCAATTTATCACCAGACTGCTGTAAGCAGAATGTGCCAGCGTCAAAGCCAGTGATATCGCAGTTATAGAATAAGTGAAGCTTTACACTACTTGTTTAATTGGACTCTTTGAACTGTCTTAGCATTACAACGCATGCAATGATTAGTAATTACAGCCTGCTATAGAAGTGAACCCTGTTAGCGAATCATTGCGTACTTATCTGTTCATCCACACTGGACCATCAGTCCAGAACCTGGGAACAAATTGCAGTCTTAACTTTAACATTACCATTAGCCAGTGCCAAAGAGGACAAAAACGGTGCAGCAGCTAAACGAGTGGCTAAATGTCTGGTTGAATTCAATCAGAACTATTAACCTGAAACATCTTCTGCTTGTGAGGGACTTTATTCTCCAGCTGTCTGCGTGCAGTACTGGACAGGGTCCTTCTGGAGACCTGCTGCAGGGTCTACAAAACAAAACAACACATATTAGTATCAAACCTGTTGACGGTGGACCTCTAGAAGCTGATATATAAGTGCCAAAAACAACGTTCACGTATAATTGCATTAATAACAATAAACGCCAACACATTGTAAAGCTTTCCAGGAAACTCCAATTTATCGACCTTGAGAGATTGGTCAAACTAATCAGATGAATTTACATATCAATGTACTAATAGAGTGTTTACAGAGCTCAGGTAAATACAGGAAAACACTCGATATTGCTCTCTGTAACGAGCAGGAGGTCATGAGCGCTGCTGCTAGGCTAACGGTGTTTCTGATTCTGCTCAAATCTAATCAAGCTCTGTTACAAGACTATCAATCGCTTTCTGCACGTAAATGGAACGAGGACACGCATTAAGATCTTAAATCTCACCCTTAAGTGCCTAAACATGGTGATAATGTCTCCTTCAGACCGCAATGTTCAGGAAGCCGCACCTGCACAAGGACACTTGTAAATGTCACTTCCTTCTTCTGCTCGAGTCTGCCGCAGGATTAGCGGCGAGAGGCGCATTACTGCCGCCTACCGGACAGAGCAGTTTGGTTTGGGAGGTCCGGTTCTTTAGAGAATCGATTCTTTAGAGAATCGGTTCGTTCGGACAAGTCCGGTTTCAATTAATTGGCTCGAAAAAAGATTCACGTAGCCGCGCGTTCATCATCATCATCATCATCAGACACATTTCTGTTATTTATTTCTTTGTATGTGTGTGGGTGTTAATGCAAACAGCATACATTTAGTCAGAATTGTAAAATTTCAGCCTAATTTCCTTTCATAAATCTATTTTATACTAGGTAGGCCTAGAATACATAGCTACATTATGTAAAACTGGCAAAGGGTTTTATACTGAAATATTATTTTTGGTAGTTATGATCATTCAGGACTGATGTTGGTAATAAAATAGCAATGTCTGTGAAAAAAGGACCTATGTGTCATTTTTTTTAACTGATGCACAAGGTGTTCGCTCGGTTAAATATTACTATTGATAAGCTAAGCATGTTTTATTTTACTACTCATAAGAGAAATGTTATAGAACTTGAGGAGGTTACACATAAAACCAAACTTCTTTCTTAAATTTACAAACACCTTGTGTTCGACAAAATCATAAAAAAAAAAATAAAAAAAAAGGCACTATGCAAGGTTCATGAGAAACAGACACATTACTAGGCTCTTGGGAGTAATAAAAAAATGCATTAAAGGCTTTACGCTAACTGAAATCTTAATGAAATCCTAACATCTCAACCTCTGCCTTGTCATTCCATCCAGTCTTTGGGTGGTACAACATTAGGAGCAGATAGATACTCTAAAAATCAAAAATAGTAGTAGTTACAAATGTTTAAACTACATTTAAGTGGCAAATCAAGACTTTTCTAAGCGAAAAGGGGAACTTTTCCAGCAAACTCCCACAAAAGCACCACAGCACGTCTCAGCACTCATGCATTTGATGTTTATTATCACACAACTCTTGAGCACATGAAACGACTTTGGCTCAACAACAGACATGAGCTTGATAAAGGATCCCCAGTAGTTGCAAAACACACACATATCCTTTTTAAATACACACTGCACAGAACAAGATTTTCAAAGAAGAAACTAAAAAAATTAAGCATATCTAGACACTCACAGTTCAGCATTTTAAATAATAAAGTAACATAATCCTTACCGATCAGTCAAACTATCAGAAATATTGCATTCTTATTAAAAAAAAACAAAAAATCCTTGACTGTTGTGATTGTACCATACCATTAGCAATAATACCCAAACGGATGAATTTCACCAAGCCTGTCAAAAACAGCTCAAAATCAAATGAGAATTTCTATTTTGCACAATATGTATCTTAAACGTCAATACAAACTGCTTCATTGTCTGTATTATTATTATTATTATAGACATGTTTTTGTGGTGGGATGCATTTAAATAGTCCTACTGTATGACTACACATGATCCAGTTACTCTAAAATACTTCATGTAGAAAGACCATAAAATATGAAGCTTTGGTGTGAATGAAATAAATGCTTAAAACAGCTCACTGAAAACTGCCAGTGCATACATAATACGTTTGCAAGTAGTTCCTCTGGGTACCTGTGTGTGTACAGCAGCATGAGATACGACAGACTGTAATCTCATGTCAGTGTACAGACTGCGGTGTGCTGATAATTACGCAGTTAATTAGGAATGTCAGCATTGTTGTTGCGGTTGCCGTATTTATGGTGGATGATCAGCAGCACCACTCCCAGGAAGAAACACACGGAGCCCACGGTGATGTAGGCAATGCCCAGGAAAGGGTTCTTCCCTCCCATCCAGGAAATCGTGCTGAGGATCATGCGCTTGCGGCCATCAAAGCTGCGCACTGGGTAATCTGGGTTCACATTATTAAAGAATCTCGTCGATTTATTTCAACATACATTTCACTTCAAACATACTTCAACAGTTGATACTTACACTTAAAGGGATAGTTCACCCCAAAATGAAAATTCTGTCATCATTTACTCCGTACGTTGTTCTAAACCTGTATGAGTTTCTTTCTTCAGTCAAACACAAAAGAAGATATGTGACCCTGGACCACAAAACCAGTCATAAGGGTCAATTTCTCGAAATTGAGATTTATGCATCATCTGAAAGCTGAATACATAAGCTTTCCATTGATTGTTAGGATAGGACAATATTTGGCCGAGATACAACTATTTGAAAATCTGTAATCTTTTGAGGGTGCAAAAAAATCAAATACTGAGAAAATCAAGTTGTCCAAATGAAGTTCTTAGCAATGCATATTACTAATCAAAAATTAAGTTTTGATATATTTACGGTAGGAAATTTACAAAATATCTTCATGGAACATGATCTTTACTTAATATCCTAATGATTTTTGGCATAAAAGAAAAATCGATAATTTTGACCTATACAATGTTTTTTTTGGCTATTGCTACAAATATACCCCAGCGACTTGAGACTGCTTTTGTGCTCCAGGGTCACATATAAAAGTGTGGGTAACCAAACAGTTTTTGGCCCCTATTGACTTCCATAGTATTTTTTTCCTCCATACTATGGAAGTCAATGGGGACCAGCAACTGTTGGGTTAACCACATTCTTCAAAATACCTGCTTTTGTGTTTAACAGAAGAAAGAAATTCGTACCGGTTTGCAACAACTTGTAGCTTCAGTAAATGATGACAAAATTTTGATTTTGGGGTGAACTGTCCCTTTAAGGCAAGACACTCCAGGTGAATAGGGTAAAAAATGTAACATCATACTATCACCCCAGTTAATTGTTTATATTAAGAGTTTCAAATTCTGAAATTGTTTAAATATGAAAATTAGGCATTATCTAATTAAAGCTGCAGTCCGTAACTTTTTTGTGTTCAAAATTTACAAAATTTATATAATAAGCGAGTACACCATGAATCAATTTTCCAAACCGTGTTTTTGGCTTGTCCTGAATCACTACAGTACACCTATAATAAGTGTTTATATTCGGACTATTTCAGACTGGTTCGGGTAGGTACCGCTGCGGAGTAGCCCAGTACCTGCGTGATTCGCCATAGACATAAACAGAGAGAAGTAGCTCCGGCTACAATGTTCTTCCGCAAGACGCACGCAGTTCTGTTTATTAACCGCTAGAGCGCCAAAAGTTACGGACTGCAGCTTTAAATATTCACTTATTTGCTTCCATAAAGCAAATTCCATTTCACACACTTCCATAAAGCCGGGTGTTTACAAAAGGGATTTTGGATTTCTCTTTATATCACTCTATAAATCAGAAATTACCATCAACCGCCAAAAAAAGGATAAAATGCTGTGTAAAATCAGGTGAGTGATATATGAACAAGCCCTCTGTAAAAATCTTCAGAATAAGTTTGGTGTAATGATTTTAGTGCTGCTGTAGTAAAGAAAAAACTCACAGCCTTTATAAATATGTATTCTAACCTACAGACACAAATAGATAATGTGCATGAAAACAAACACTAAAATGTGTGTGTTGGATGTTTTTTTTCCCCACTAGTCTGAAAGAAGACATTATGAAAAGCCAAATAGGCCAAAATTCCCCAGTGCATGAAAAACAACGCTTTTGTCTTGGTTTCAGTTCTAAACGTGACAGCTGGTTAAGATGCATATGCTAATCTTGCTAGATATGCTAGATCTTGTTTTCACCTGCTACACTGAAAAAAATTAATGTAGGTTTAAAACAAGTTTCAATTAGAAATTGCTAGTAAATTTCACAATAATTTAAAAGAAACGGCAAGCAACACTTTGAAATAAACGTTACATTTTTTAAGTTGAAAAACTGAAATAGTATTTTCTTATTAAGAGTTTTGTTCTTCATACTTCTTCATACTCACACCTGATGATTTATTAATTTGACACTTTTTATAGAGTGCGATAACTCCAAATACAGTAAACCTGAGCAGTTTACGTTGGGTCTTTTTGTTTGGTTGTGAAGGATACTGTAGGTCACTTCCAGGCTGTAGTTTCCTGGCGGTAGTGTCGGGGTCATGTTGTCCTTCTTCTTCTGAATGACGCGGTAGAGTTTTCTGAAGGTGGGGAGAGCAGCAGTTCTCATCCACACGATGAAATCCTCATTGATGAACCCGTTGTTCTCAGGATCAGACGGGTCCAGCTCGTAAACGGGTTTGTGCCAGTTTACGGGTTTACTTGTATCTGTGATGACCAATTACGCTGGTTAGAGTCGTGAAAGAGCATCATATTTTATACACCAGGCTTCTATGGCTCATAATATAGTATGATACAGTAGGAATAAACACCTCACTTTTACTCAGAGGCTCAAACTGAGCAAAAATATGCAATTTGGTACAGATGCTGATATTTATACGACCAAACAGTAAGATTAAATTCTGATGCTTGTAATGTAAATCAATGAGATCTTTATAAAAGTATAGCAGATACTTACATAAAATAATAGAAATATTAGTCACTCTATATCTCCCAATAATGTGTCTTTAGGGTGCTTTCACACTTGGTTTGCTTGCCTGGTCCGAACCAGAGTCCGATTGCTCCCCCCTCCCCCTGCCCCCGCTGGACTGCGTTCATATTATTTTATTTGGGTCCGAACTGCGGTTCGTTTGCGTCATCAAGCCAGCAGCTGTTTACCCCGTTGCTTAGTAACGACGGCGCAGGAGAAGGCGGCAAATGCATAACATTGCTCTCTGCACTTTTATATATTTACGTTTTTTTAACCGTTCGTTTTGTTTACAAATCTTCGGCACATAACGGCACTTACGTCTATCTTACGAATGTACTGCAAATGCTCTAAAGAACGCTGAAGGCGAACAGAAATGAGATGTACAGCTCTCTGTTTGCAGCGCGTCAGTCCCGCTCGTCAGGAAAGAGAGTGAAACACACACACAAACACATTTTTATCAAGTAATACGTCATTAATAGCGGTTCACTTCCGCGATTTGGTATGACTGTGTTCACATCAGCAGCGAACCGTACCGGAGTTCACATGAACCGTACCCCAGCTCAGACCACCTTTTTTAAGCGGACTCGGGTACGGTTCGCGGGTGCGCACCCGAGTTCGGAAGACAGCGTTCACATCATCCAAACGAACCGAACTCTGATGTCAATCGAACCCGGGTGCGCACCAAAAGTGCTAGTGTGAAAGCACCCTTAAATGCTTGCTTTGATTATAAAAATGTGCATAATGCAATGGAATACAGGTTTATTAGCAAAGTATTGATACCGTAGCATATACAGGATTTAGCTTTATGCACCTTGGAACACAATGGAGAGGTTGTTGTTGTTTCCTGCAGGGTTTCTGAACTTCACATGCTTGTCAGTCCACCAAGCAATGCCCGTCTTCACCAGATGAATAGTTATTCTGCTTCCGTTTGGATGGTTATAAAACAGCTCCAAAGTATCTACAATTATGAAACAAATGACAGAGAGCAGTCAGAAAGACCTTAGGTGTGTTTCACACAGCTTGTGTAAGCAGTGATATTTATTTTGCAGCTCTTATTAACTGGCTACAGCATTCACATGCACATGTTAGTGGAGCAGCAGAGTTTTGTTCTGTGTGGCTCAGTTTGTGTCCAGCGTCCCCTGTTCCTCTGCTGAGATTCTCTCCTAAACGTGTACCGCAAGTGAAGATATTTGCACACTAGATGGCCGAGTGTATAGTGCATCATTTGGGACACAGCCTGTGAAAAGTTCTACACATGAACCTGGCAACAAGCGTTAGTATTTGTCTTACCATTGAAGAGACTGTTAGCAATGGCACCACAGGGAGCAATGGGCTTCTTATCACTCGTTCGATAGGGTTCACACTCTTTACTCGGGTTCTGCAGAACAAAGACTTGAACACTTGAAAACGATATGACATTCTGTGCTTTCATTCCATGACAGGATTTCTCACAAATTATTAGCTATACGCTTGTCACGGCTGAAAAATGACAACTTTTTCATGAAAAATAAACAGTAAATAAAGACATTAGATATTGGAAATTTCATAAAAAGCATATTTATAAAGTTCAGTAAAACCATCTATTTATACACAACAAAATGCCAGGAAATTGTACTCATGTTTTTTTTAATCAGTCAGTCATCATAAAGATACTCAAAGGCATTACCTCAAACCACTCACCAGTAAAGAGCTTTTATCTCCATTCAGCTGACTGTCATCTCTTGATTTGACGTAACGTCGATGGTTTTGATAGAAGTTGGAGAGGCCATAGTACATAAAAACATTACTCTACAAAAGAAAAGATGTAAACGCATTAAAAAAAAATCATCAGGTGACAAGGCACACAATCTTTTGTCCTGGGGCTATTTCTGTTATTTACTGTATAGATGCACGTTCACAGGCAGTTTATACATAATTGATCTGAAACCTGTTAATGTATGAGCGGGAAACAATTCTATTTTAACCTATTCAAAAGCATGATCAATAAAATCTCCTCTAAAATGCTAATGCATAATACATGAGAGCTAATGCAACTTTAGACGATATATTTGACCAATAAACAATCCACAGACCAAGTAAATACTGCAACCTAATGAAGCTACTGATAAATATATCCAACTATAAAGAGCGGTATAGACAAGAAAAGCCTCCAAGTTGGCCATATCACAAGAGAAAGGGGGAAAAAATAGGAATTAAACATAACATTGAAGCATATCTTAATTTATAGTTTTTATTTATTTATTTTTTTGCATTTAAATGTAAATTTGACTTAAAAAAAATAACAAAATAAGCAATATAAAATATATATTTAACATTTTAATTAATTATTTATTTTTTTAATTGAATATATTTTACTATAATATGTTTGGGAATAACGCAACATTTACTTTTGTCTCATGGCCCTCAATCAAGTTTGAATTTTGGCCTTTCATATTCGAAAGTTTAGGCAACTCTGCCACATCGTACATGCCATATTTAATTTGATTTGAGGTATCAAATTAAATACTGTGTAATTTTCACAATCCATTGTGAAACAAGTCAAAGGTATCATGTTTTTGATAACTGGAATTTTTTTGAAAAGATGTATTTTTAATGTTATTTTGGCTGAACAATCAATACCAACGCAAGTAACAGTACAAACCAATGGACAGACTATCTTCATTAATGTCAAATGAAATTTTAATGCAGAAAAATATGTATTTGAGCTCAAATATTTGGGGTTAGTATGATTTTTTTGGAAAGAAATCAATACTTGTATTCAGCAAAGATGCATTAAATTGATCAAAAGTGACAGTAAAGACATTTATAATATTACAAAAAAAAGAAATCGAATTCTTTTGAACTTTCTATTCATCAAATAATCCTGAAAAAGTATAAAAGTTTTCACAAAAACGGTTTTCAACATTCATAATAATAATAAATGTTTCTTGAGCTGCATAATAGAATGATTTCTGAAGATCATGTGACACTGAAGACTGGAGTAATGATGCTGAAAATACAGCTGCGCATCACAGGAATAAAATACAGTATATTATGCACATAGAAAATAGTTATTTTCTATTATATTACTGTTTCTACTGTATTTTTGATCAAATAAATGCAGCCTTGGTGAGTATAAGAGACTGTCCAAAACAAACAAACAAAAAACTTACCAACTCTGAACTTGAACATAAAGGGAAGTTTAACTGAATTGTGACAAAAACCAATGCATATAAAAACAGGAACCTCATCCGAACTGTAAAGAACACTGGAGGAAGTGTAATGCTTTGAAGCTGCTTTGGTATTCTTGAAACAGGATGGCTTGCCATCACTTACAGCATAAAACATTAGAAATCTCAAGTTGGTCACACCAGACACTCACTCTTGATCTTATAGTTACTCGTCTAATTGGGTTCTTCATCTAGTTATAAGATTAGCACTGTGATCTGATCTTCAAGTAACCAAATGTATGCAGAAATAAGTGTTTAAAGGGATAGTTCACCCAAAAATGAATTTCATAATTACTCACCCTCATGTCGTTCCAAACCTATAAGACCTTCGTTCATCTTCAGAACACAAATTAAGATATTTTTTATGCATTCCGAGAGCTTTCTGACCCTTCATAGATGGCAACACAACTGAAATGTTCCCAGGTCCAGAAACGTAGCAAGGACTAGTGGTGGACCGATATATCGCCAATGCCGATATATCAGCCGATATCTGGCATTTTTTAAATATCGGCATCGGCCGATAAGTTTTCCTGTTTGTCCGATGCGTTCGAGGCTTTTATTTTGACGGCGCGACGGACTTTTATTTTGTACACAGTGCTCACCTTCTCCCTCTTGTTCGCTGTCGTCGTTAACAGTTCTGTCTAAATATGGATAGAAGTCTGTCTAATAATCAGATAGAACAGCGCTCAACACTGATTACTGTCGCGTTCCAAATCCTTCAGCACTTGAATTAAGATTATAATAATTTAATTTTAAAACACAGCCACCACAAAATCAGACCTTACTTTGAGATCATTCTGAGGTTAAATGCAGATTTAAAATCATAACAAGAAATAGTTTAATAGCTATGATACTGTTTTTGAAATCAAATCTTTGCATAGCTATGAAAGGGAACACTGGAATCTAACAAAGCCATGGAAAAAACAAAACAGTTAATCTTAAAAAATAAAGCATATGCATAAACCCAAATAGGAAATAAAACAGTTATCGAATAAGCATGTGTCCTGAAACACTGGTGTCTCATATTTAATGGCAGTCACTGCAATTTATGAAAGAAATCAATTAAATCTGTACGTGCGTGAAAAAAATAAAAAATGAGATGTAACCCTCTTTGTAATCGTTAAAATTTTTATAACTGTAATTTAATTACGCATTTTTTTGTCAGTAACTGTAACTGATTACAGTTACATTTATTTTGTAATTAAATTATGTAATTCTGTTACATGTAACTAGTTGCTCCCCAACACTGGTGACCTCGAGCCCTAATAACGTAATAAGATGTTGCCATGGCGACGGAACGCACCTCAAACTCTTTGATGTTGTTAGAGGTGACGAGGAGTCCGATGCCGATGGGGATGAAGATGAGTCCGATCATGAAGAAGGCGGGCAGGACGGTGCCCGCGGTCAGAATGGGCTGCCAGGCGGGCAGACGCTGCTGTTTAAAGGCTGTGTTATCGGGCTTCTTGCTCTTGACAGCGCCGGGGCCGCCGGAGCCCACCGATCCCGGATGATGATCCTCATCCTTCGCGTTATAGCTGGACGCCATCATCGAGCCGCGCGGACAGCAAGCACACTACACCACAACTTCAAATATGACGGCTTGATTGACGGCTGTGTGTATTATATCGCTGCTATCGCTTGTGCTTATCGCGCCATGAAAGCGCCATTAACAGCAATAATGATTATTTCCGTAGCTCTGTTGGTCGTGATGGACAAGACGGTAAACAAGGAAGTACAGCAGCCAGTGGACCGGAAGCGACGTCGTGACGTCAGCAATGACACCCCTCCCCCGACGTGACATTTCTGCAATGTACAAAAAAAAACAAATTCGTACTCATTACGGAAATGCAGTAGCCTAATAACAAACGTCTTGTCCAGATACAATGTTTTAAATCAGCATTAATAGTGCTGGGTATATGATTATATGTAATCTGGATTACGTCCAAAAATTAAGAAATAGCCTAGCTGCTTGTGACTACATTATATTACATTTTACAATAGCCTACTCGTAATCAGACTAGTTACTTTTTTATGGATTACATGATTACATGTTATTCACACAGTTGCAATAAATCATTCACAATTTATTCATTCTCCCTAATTCTTCTTTTTCATCTTTTAAATTCTCCGGTAACACTACTTGAAGGGGTGTGCATAAGACTGACATGACACCTTCATAATCATGACATGACACATGTCATGAATATGAAGGAGGTTTTATGCATGTTTATGACAACTGTCATTAAGTGTCATTCGCTCAGTTATGTAATTTTTAATGCAAAGATGACATTGTTTGAGATGTCTTTGTTATGGGCTATGGCTAGGGGTAAGGGTAGGGGTAGGGTTAGGTCAAATAATGTCATATTTGCATTAAAAATGACAACTGAGCGAATGACACTTAATGACAGTTGTCATAAACATGCATAAAAAACCGTCATATTCATGACATGTGTCATGTCATGATTATGTAGGTGTCATGTCAGTCTTATGCACACCCCTTCAAGTAAAGTGTAACCAATTCTCCTTTCTAAAATAGCCTACTGCCTTATAATTACACAAAAATTGAGAGAGCACGCAGCATTTGACTACTGGGTTTACTATTTTAAGTGTTTTCTCAATGTTGCTTCTTTTAACCGTGTATTACTATGTCTTTGGAAGGCTGGGATTTTAATGCACTTCAATGTTGTCAATAACAAAGAATGGAATATATTTTCTTCCTCGTGTTTTTATATCAATATTGTACAAGATTATCTTAAAATCAATGTGATAAACAAGTTAAGTCAAAAGTAATCTAAAAAGTAGTTTGATTATAGGCTATTACCTAAAATGTGTAATGTAATGAATTATGTTACTAACTACAATTTTTGTCATGTAATTCGGAATCAGTGATGGACTACAATTTGTAAGAAATCTACCCAGCACTGAGCATTAACTACATACAGTGCTTTTATTTTTTCCACATTACAATAATAATGAGAGCTTTTTCACAATAAAATCTTTATATTTCTAATTTTTATGGTAATATTATATCAAGAAATATGCACACAAATATCAAGTGTAATTCAGTACCATTACCATCTGATACCATACTATTTTACTATTGTAGTACTTTAAATGGAGCCTCTGCTTCCTTTTGTGCTGCTACTTAGTAATATATTTTTGTAAATTGGAATTTCTTTAAAGTCATACACTTTTGCAGCCTTAGGCACAATAAGGCTTAAGGGAATGATGGTGACAGTTGGAAGACATTTGATTTTAAGCTTCATGGACTTGTTTACATGATTTGAAACAACTAAAATCAGCATGATTTGTGTATATGATTGCTTACAATTTATGGACCTCAACTTCAGTAGCATTCACACTTTGACTTTTCCGAACTACAGAGTTTATGTTTGTAGATTTTCTGTTTTAAATGTCTGCAAGTGCACATTAAAAGCTGTTTTTCAAGTTATTCAATATATATATTTATAAAATATAAGTATAAATATTTTTTTCTTATTGTAATGTGTGTGTGTGTGTGTGTGTGCGCAAGAAGTGAAAAGAAAGACATTTTGACTCATCTGAAAGCAAAACATTTTTAGTTACAAACAGGTAATAAAAATCCATTACAGATAATAATAATAATAATAATAATAATAATAATTCCTTACATTTATATAGCGCTTTTCTGGGCACTCAAAGAACTTTACATAGAAGGGGGGAATCTCCTCAACCACCACCAGTGTGCAGCATCCACCTGGATGATGCGACAGCAGCTATATTGCGCCAGAACGCCCACCACACACCAGCTTATTGGTGGAGAGGAGACAGAGTGATGAAGCCAATCAGTAGATATGGCGATGATTAGGAGGCCATGATGGTCAGAGGCCAATGGGCGAATTTGGCCAGGATGCCGGGGTTACACCCCTACTCTTTTTCGAAGGACATCCTGGGATTTTTAATGACCACAGAGAGTCAGGACCTCGGTTTAACATCTCATCCGAAAGAATGAGATCATACTCATTGGTGAGGCTCTTATCAATGCATTTCATTTCACAACAACAGTCAGAAAATGCTTGGTCTGATACGTACATTTGGTCTGATACGTACATTCCACAAAATGCTAAAATTATACACCATTAAACATCATGAACAATACTATTAAAATACATAATTTAGCAGACATTCTTTGTAAATAAAAATTGTCATTGATATAAACCATTTTATTTAATTTGATATGCAGTTTTTTTTTACTGGATAAATATTCTTCAAATACATCTGTTGCAACCAAATAATTCTATAAACCCTCAAGAGATCTGTTACATGACCTCCATGCTGCCATCTCTGCTCGTGGACACTCAGTTTTGAACACTGAATGGCTGATTGTGTTTTAGTTCTGTGCTTAATTCAACATATTGTCACATTTTTACCTCACGTTTTTACTTGTGTTGAAAAAGACAGTTGCTAACAAGTGTCTAAATGGGACTTAAGAGGGTTTTGGGGTTGTCGGATATTAAACGTCACCACACCTCTATACTCTATACTCTAATCTACTCACTAGTCGCTTTCACAGCCTAATTGTGTAAATATTTGTGCTCTTGCAAACTATTCCAACTCAAACTTTCAGGGAAAAAGGCTTTTTACATAAAGAAAGAGGTGTAGGAAGTTAAATCAGTGTGCCCTACAAAAATACATTATTACTGCAGCATTTGTGCTACAGTAAAAGCAATGTTGCCAAATCCCAACTCTCTTTCCCTAGTTCTTTCCCAAGAAAAATCTGTTTTCCCTTGCATCTCTGCAACACAACAATTGCAGAAAGTGACAATCATATATACAAGACATAGTAAATGTAAACTTGTATATTATTTGTTCAATGCTCTCAGCCCTTCCCTCCACCCTGTAGGGCTCCATTAATGACAGCTGATTTTTTCAGGTCAGTGTGCATGGCTTGGTTCTCTGGATTTGTTTCCATTTTAACTACTGTGGTGATTCCCAAAGCTCCAAGCACGGCTTTTCCAGTTTTCATTCCCCGAGACATTGGAATACGACTGAACCCTGATCGTGCTGATGGGACATCAGTGATGGGCTGCTGTTGAGTAACAGAGCATGGATGTAAATCTTGGCCTTTCTTAATGTATAGATTAATCATATTCCTGCATGCATGGTTTAAAGGAACACTCCACTATTTTTGAAAATAGGCTCATTTTCCAACTCCCCTAGAGTTAAACAGTTGTGTTTTACCGTTTTCGAATCCATTCAGCCGATCTCCGGGTCTGGCGGTAGCAATTTTAGCTGCAGCTTAGCATAGATCATTGAATCTGATTATACCGTTAGCATCTTGCTCAAAAATGACCAAAGAGTTTCCTATTTAAAACTTGACCCTTCTGTAGTTCTGTATTACTTCTCATTCAGAGCACCTGAAAATAGTCCCCAGTTAGGTAACTTCCAACGGAAGTCACGTTCCCTGTGCAAGCAGGTGGTCACGTTGGTTATGATGGCAGAAGTTAGCCTATTTTCAGGCGCTGCGTAATATCATTGTGCCTGCTGCACCCATGGTACGGCAGCAAAGTTCCTTGATTATTACGCCGGAATGAGAGTATAGTTCCTAGCCATATCGGCCTAGAAAATCGCAACTTTTCATTTTCCGTCGGTCTTAGTACACGATGTAACTACAGAAGAGTCAAGTTTTAAATAGGAAAAATATCGAAACTCTTTGGTCATTTTTGAGCGAGATGCTAACGGTCTAACCAGATTCGATGATCTATGCTAAGCTGCAGCTAAAAGTGCTACCGCCAGACCCGGAGATCGGCTGAATGGATTCGAAAACGGTAAAACTCAACTGTTTAACTCTAGGGGAGTTGGAAAATGAGCCTATTTTCAAAAATAGTGGAGTGTTCCTTTAAATGAGACACTTACCACTGAGAGTGTGGGTCTGGCAGGTGCTTTAGTGACCTGCGTGATGGTGATGCTGCTCATCGCTTTGCTAGATGTTGATTTGCTGGCAGTCACACTGTGTGGTGAGCATAGCACAGTTCCAGTAGAAACTTCATTACACTCAGATGATACGGGAATAGATTTGGCCATGACAACTGAGCCATGGTCAGTGGTCTTCTTGAACTGTGATCCTAAGTGAATATGAATTTTACTGTCTTCTGTGGTAACGATATTAGCATTTGACTTCTTGATAGGTGTGGGGACCATTCGTTTTTCAGGAGTCTCCTTAAATACAGCTCGACCTGTTATCATGTCCACAGACTCTTGGGTGCTGCTGATGGATGCAGTGGATACAGGAGATAACGATTTGTCCATAGAGGGAGACCTCATGATCTCTGCACTCTTTACTCTCGAGATTGAGGCAAAGGTCATTGGTAATCTAACTCTTTCTGGATTCTTTGGCTCTTTGGTTCGTTCATTTGTAGGAAGGACGGTCATCTGGGAGCTCTGAGTTTCTTGGGATAGTTTGGCAGAAGCTTGTTTGGTCAAGTCCTCAGAAAGGCCAATGCGATTCTGTAAGGTTGCCTCGTTGTTCTGAATATCTGGGATCACCTGAGCGTTCAATGGATGGTCATACTTTTGGGACATGCTGACTTCAGAAGTTGCAGCCTCCCCACTGGTATCCAAAGATACTTCAGAAGCACTGCTGTCTTTCTTCCTCATCCAAGGAATCCAGGACTTCTTCACAGTATAGTCACTGACTGTTGGAGGGTAAAGTTCACGTACTGTTGGTCTCTGCGCTGGCTTCTTTAAGCTCCTCTGTTGCAGACTACTCATGATCCGGTTCTCCTCTTGGACGGACTTCTTAATGAATGCAGCAGGTGTGTCACTGTCAGCTGTCCTATTTTCAACTGAATCGGTTTGTACTCCAGTTGACGTCACTGGAACATCCATCATTCTGCTTCCTTTGGTGCTGGACCGTAAAGTGCGGCTGTAGCGCTTGGTGACCTCAAGTTCTTTGGTAAGGTTTAGAACTTCAGTGCTAATGCTCTTTTTCTTGTCTTCCTCCTCTAGAAACCTCTGTTGCAGAACAGAATAATCCACCTGTAGCTGGGATAGCTCGTCTTCTTTGTTCATGAGCTCGTGAATCTTCTCCTTAAGGGCTTGCACATCTGCTTGAAGGTCTCTGGTTTTGGCCTCCTCCATCGTGAACCGATGTCTCAGTTCAGCCTCTTGACAGCCCACCTCACCTTGCTCTATTACCTTAATCAACTCAGTTTGACTTATTTCTTGTACCTGCTGTGAGAGAGAACGTGCCTTTTCTTTCTCACTTGCTAACAAATCATACTCTGGTTTGATCAGGTCTCGCTCAATGACTTCGAGCTGTTGAAGACGGTTCTTAAGTCTTTCAGTCTCCAAAGTCAACTCCTTAACTTTATTCTCATCTTTTCCATGTGTATTTGAGACAATCTGCAGGTCCATCACCTTTTGAAAAGACTCCCTTTCTTCTTTGTTCATGGTACTGTGCTTCATTATACCATGCTTGGAGCTCAGAGCTTTCCATTGTTCTTCTGTTTTGAAAAGCTTTCGCTTTATTTCATCTCTCTCTTTTACAAGAGCAGCTATCTTCAACTCCATCTCTGACTTTAGTTTCAGACGCTTCTTGCTCTCCTCTATTAACCTCTCAGTAACCTCCATTACTTTCTCCTGCTCTGCCTTATAGAGTTGGTTCAGTTCATCTCTCTTCTTTTCCTCAGACCTAATTCTGTCTGCCATGTTCTTGTGCTCATTAACCATTATTACAGTAACTGATTTGAGTTTCAAAAGATCCTCTTTTAAATCTAATTCATCCTTTTCCAGTTTCAGCTCAGACAATTCGAGCTCCTTCATGCGGATTTTAACGCTCACAAGTTCGTCTGTTAGGTCTTTAGTCCAGCTTTTCTCCTTTTCCAAAGCTGCCTGCAACTGGGCACATTCCGTCCAGCCCATGCTGAAGGTCATCTCTAGTGTCTCTAACTGTGTCATTCTCTGTTGCAGTTTTTCCACCTCTAGCCTCAGGTCCTTATTCTGAGCCTCCTCAGCCAGAAGCATCTTCTTCAACTCATTGCATTTGTTCTCAGTTTTGGTGATGTCTTCATCTTTACCCTCCATTTCCAGAATTATTTTGCGCAAAGTCTCAAGTTCTGCCATCAAATTTGAGTTGCCACATTCACCCTTTCTGATCTTGTCCTTTAAAGCCTGGAGCTCCTCTGCTGATTTCTGAAGAGCTTCGTTGGTCTCTTCAAGCTCCTTGAGTTTGTGTAACAATTCCATCTGTTTCTGGGACAACTGCTGATGTTGAGATTCTTGACTAGACAGTTCTGCAGACATCTCCTCTTGCTCTTTTGCAAACTTAGAAGTTCTTAGCTCCAGCTCAACCTCAAGATCCAGGATTCCCTGGTTGTCTTCCTTTGCTTTTCTCTCTGCCTCATGTAGTTTCTTCTCCTTTTCCTCGAGTTTTTGAAGAAGATCTTGTATTTTGTGGCTCTGTTTGTCGATTTTCTCCAAGTGAAGTTCTCGCTCATCAACCATCATGAGTGCAAATGACTTCAGCTTAACCAGCTCTCCAGATGTTCTTTGCATACGTTTAGAAAATTCTTTTTCCTTCCTTATTTGGTATGCTTTTTCTTGTTTCAGCAACCGTTTTAACCTAGTGAAAAATAAGTATAACTGTAAAATAAGTAAGTATTACTGACTTAATGTATTGACTTAGTTGTGCTTATCTTATGCTTATCATTTAGAAGAAAGAATTAAACAAATAGTTACAAAATAACAACAAATAATTATTAGTCAAAATAATTAAATTGAACTTTCATTAATACACATAATCATATAAGTTAAAAATTAAATGTCTAACAATATTGTATTTTAATATAAAAAGTCAGAATTTTACTGTACATGTAATAAAAAAATAAGCCAATAAGTCATGAAATTGTCAATAAGTCATGAAAATCAAGCGTAAGCGTTAGTTCTGGCAGGTCACGTTAGTCAAGCTCGCATCAGCTGACTCTCAGCTGATCCCCATCTACCTATAGGAATACAACACCTATCTAAGCATTCATATATAAGGTCCCTCAGTATTATCAGCAGTTTTCGCATTGCTCAATAGCTAATTACCCTCCTCCATCCCCAGCTCCTCCTCTGTCAGTCAGGATTCAGCCTTCTGATTCTCCTTTGAATCAGACTAATTCTAACTGTGTACATTAAATTATTGAACTTTAATGATATCTGCAATACATTCATGTTGGTTCGGTTCTGTTACCCCTGGGGGGGTTAGCGCTGCTCTCCCTGCTCTTATCCATGCTAGGCTGCATGGATGCGCAGGGAGTTCTTGCCCAGAACAGAACCATACCGCCAATCCAAACTGTATGCTAATTGTCCATCATCTTTGACGATAGTGGTCCTGACAGAATTACCAAAGTATTATGAAATTAGTACATAACTGGGACAAAAGTTTGTACTAACCATGTTGTGAGTTGGTAATTTGATGGTAATGAAATAACGAGCATGTGTCGTCCTAGTTACATTGTCATTTAGTAAGTCATGAAATTACCAAATTTCGTGACTAGTATGTTGTGTGTTAGCTGGGTTACTTTTTGTGCCATCGGTCACGCACAACACTAAAGCCCTGAAGATCTTCTGTTCTTGGTCAGACTTGTGAATTTACTGAATTGTTATCAGGAGAATCTCTCTGACTGGATCATTTGAATCAGTGAGTTGTTGACTCGAGAACAGCTGCAATCTGATCAGTCCAATTCACGAATAAATCGTTCAATGAAATTTGCGACCTAATTTAACAGGTTCATTAAAGAAATAATCTTGTTCACGAATCGGACACTGCTATCGCGTCTTGGAGTGGGTGATGATTTCTCCAGTTCAAAATAACGAGGAACGACATGTTTTTAATAAATGTAGTGGAGTAAAAAGAACGACATTAAGCTTTAGAATGTAGTGAAGAAAAAGTACAAGTTTCTCAAAATAAAAATACTCGGATAAAGTACAGATACTTGTGAATTAGTTTTACAGAAAATGTTCTAAATGAAACTTATAACTGCCATATTTGTAATACTACATTACCAGGTACCTGTCTTCATCAGATGTTCTGGGAATGTCAAATTGTTTCTAATCTACGGACTCATGTACATTTTGTTTTGTCCTCCTTACTGAAAACTGACTACATCCCCAATCCAAGTTTATGTCTTCTTAATGTTGACTCTGATTTATGTGTAGAAGAGAATGTTGTTTGCTTGTTTTACAGCTGCAAAGAAGACAGTAGAACTGTTTTACACCGCACATGTGTGCAAAAACATACTGGATTCATAGCCTCCTTAAAATAGTGACTTGTGAGTGTACAACAGCACGAATTAATAAGGCCAAACCTGGGACCATTGATGCCTGGCAACATTTTTCTTCCACTTTAATGATTTATATAAAGAAATTATTATATAATGTAACCCTTGTATTTATTTAGATTTATTTTATCCTTTTTTATTATTTATTTATTTATTTGTTTGTTTATTTTCTCTCTTTCTTGTCCGACTGTCAAATTATTGGCAATATGTCTGTTATTACTTCCTCCTTGGCCATTTGTTCCAATTATGGTATTTTGTTTAAATTTGAAAGACGTGAAAAAGTTGATCACAAAAAAAAAAAAAAAAAAAAAAATACAAAAAATAAAAATTTTTTTTTTTTTTTTTTTTTTTTTTTTTTTAAAAAAAAAAAAAAAAAAAAAACTCTAGCTTTCTATTCTACTTGTTTTTCTTTAATCATTCAGTCCTGCCAATCATCACAACGACCGTATATAAGCAGCAGCCATTGCTCCATTCCAGCATCCCTCCACATCCCCTTCTCCTCCTCTATTCCCTTCTCCTTTCCTCCACACTGTTCAATCATAGGGGGGTTCTTACTCGGAGCTCGAGCCGTACCTCGGGTTCGTGAACAGCAAGCCACGTTTGTTTGCCATTGACTGAATGGGCAGGCAAACTCGTGAAATGTACCATTTCTCTCCTCTCTCACCTCTCTCGTTCCTGCTCCAGGAGGTTGGTGAAGTCATCGCTCTTGTTCATGTAGTCCACGTGTTTGAGTTTCTCAGTATCCAGCTCATACACAGTGCGCCGGTGGCTTTTCTCAGCCAGCAAGAGCTGTTCCAGCATACGGCGATATGAGTCCTTGTGCTTATCCCGCAATCTGTCCAGCTGAGACATACAGACAGTAAAAAATACAATTATAAGACTAACTAACAGAGGGAAGGGTTTGCACTTTTTGTTGACTTTAAAGAAATTGTTCATCCAAAAAAATTAATATTCTGTCATCATTTAGGCTACTCACCCTTGTTCCAAACCATGACAGAATTTTCTTTATAAAACGGATAGTTCCGGTCCTTGATTCTGATTGGCTGAGCCACGTTCGAAGCTGTTGTAAATTACTCTACAAACACACACCTCTGTTTACTTTGTGTGTTGCTTGGCAACCACTTTGTTGGAACCACAACTGTTTCTGAGGAACTATATTGTTTGGTGGAAGAATACTGTTTTTATTAATATCATTACACTTTATTTGCTCTGTTTTATTTTGTGAAACCTAACTACATATGTGGAATAACCGTTTTATAGAAGCAATAAACCCCGTGAAGCCGTGGTTTACAGTGAATTTATAACAGCTAAGGGGCGTTGTTAGGCACTTATTGCTTTATTATTGGGTGAACTAGTCACTGTTATTCGTTTCTCTGTGCGTGTACCTCTGCCATTGGCTTATCATACACATTTTCATGTTGTGCATGGTTGTTGCTGAGCGTTCGGTCTCTCTGCAGGGCTTGCAGGGGTCGGGTCGGCCCTGATAAGCCATAACGGGACTCCAGCTCCTCTGGTCGACTTAGCAGCGCAGACCTCAGTAGATGGATCACATCTTCTCGTGCCTGGGTGACAAGTAAAAATCATAAATGGTTTGGGATATATTCACGGTACGAATTATGGGGGGATTTGACCTAAATGATCGTTTGATGTAAAGCAGTCGTAGAAAGTAGCACACACGTAATGTGAAGATTTTCTTGTAAATATGAAGATACATTTCAGTATAGCTTTGACTGATGTTGAATAGTAATTTGGCCACACCTGAAATGGGTCATATACCATTGGCAAAACCTGAAAGACGTAAATATGCCAGAAAATTTACTTAAACTTCTTCGTAATATGAAGATTTACTTGTAAACAACATGCATTTCTCTATAGCTGAGACTTATCTTAAATAGTAATTTTTTTTCACCCCTGAAAGTGTATTGGCATAACCTAAAAGACGTTGAAAATTCGATGGGTGGAAGCGTGAACATAACGTACACTGTAAAAAAAATTCGTAAAATTTATGGTAAAAAAACGGCAGCTGTGGTTGCTGGAATTTTACCGTAAAAAATACGGTAGCAAGGTTTTAGGTTTTACGGTTTTAACTGAAATTTACAGTTAAATACCGCAATTTCATTAACTGATATAATGTTAATATACCAACCTATTGAAGTACTGAAATCTGTTTTGTACCTTTGTA